GCGCCCCCCGCCGATAAGGCGGTGGCTGGGCTCAGCCTAATACTGTCTGTCATACGGGCTACTCTTCGAATTCCTACTCAGGTCTCAGGTCTGTCCATGCATTTGCTCTTCTCCAGATCGTCTCGCACTGCACAGCTGCAGAACCGCCGCCCGTCTTCCCTCCAGCGCACGCCTCCCCGTAAACAATGCTGGGCGCAGCTGGCACTGGAGTGTTACCATTTTCGACATCACAGGACCCATTCCAAGCAAAATCGATTGCACACATCATCCATTCCTAAATTATAATTTACCGCTTCCTCACTGCCTTCCGTCTCCGCCCTCCCGCCATCGCCGCGGCTGCCCGCCCTCCATTCCCAAGCCCAGCAGTGTCTTTCGCCGCTTTCGAGTTGGGCGTAGTCGCTCCACTCCCTGGCGTATCCGATGCTGCTGCGGACCCATCATCGCTGCCTTCCGGATCTAACCCCCCGCGCTCCGCCATCCCATTCTCTGCTTCCGTCGACGCGCGGTTTGCCACTCTCCGGTAGAGTGCGGCGACGAGTGCGGCGAACCACGTCCGTCTAATCGACGGTGGGACCGCAGTATCACTGTCCACAGGCAGTAGACTACCGTCCGGTTCCAGCTACTCGCAATTGTTCGTGAGTATACCGCTGTTGGTGAATGACCGGGGTCGGAGACTCACAATGTACACGTCGTTTCCCTCTACGATCATGTCTACCATCTTTCCGCCCACTAAGTTACCATTCTCGTCGAGCCGACGTCCTCCACCGAGATTTACTTTCACCTGTCAGACAACTTTGAGTAATGCGGGGGATCTGCAGGGTGATCGCCAACCTTTCTCTGTCCTTCCGAAGTAGGTGTCATCTTCGATCCCCACGCCGCTGAACGCGCCTCGCCGATAATCTGTTCTATGCGCGCTAGATCGCGTTTGTAGTTCATGCGTTGGACGAGGTACTGCAGAGCCGACGACAGAATCGTCAAGAAGACGAATACCGTCTGCGTTCCATGTCTGTGTCAGGGTCTACAGAAAAATGGGCGAGGATACGGCAACGCACCCCGAGACCAGGGCGGAACCGAGAGTAGTAGTATCCGGTACCCCTCCACTTCGGCACACCGTTCTTGTAGAAGAAGTCATAGCTAACTTGTCAGCATTTAGTATCGAACCTACCACGCACGGTCCACAGCACATACCGTTCCCGGCTCTCCGGGGCTCTTAGAATCTTGGAAATTACGCCCAGTCGTGCGAATCTGTCTTGCGCATTCTTCACCCCTGGGTTTTTGTCTGGACTATACAGGACAAGCACGCGCACTCAGATCATTATAGCAGATTGCGCATGACGAATGATACACTTACTGCATTTGAATACTTTTCTTCCGATACGCTTTTGCAATCTCGGACGTAGAGGCAGTAGAGGACACGCCAAGCCACGAATAGAACGTGGTGTCCTTGCCTACAACGTTGTCCCACAAAGCCGATGAACAAAGACTTAAGATACTTCAAAACGAATCACCGTACCTTCGGCGGCCTGAACTGCGCTCACTAGGTCAAATATTTCATGATCTTCCTGTGTCCAGCGTATGTGAGGAGAGTGCTTGCATATTAGATGCTTTCAATTACCTTCGTCCACCTATGCGAACCATAAAAGTAGTTAGCCAGATAGCATCAAGAAAATGGGCCAAGCATCCACATACGCTGCCACCGCGACCACCAGCGCAAAGAGTGTCAAAGCTAGGAGACAGAACCTCATCCTAACGACCGCCCGCCTCGATTGTGCTCGTACGTGCCGAGTCTATAGGCCTTGAGGTTGCAAAAACACGACAGCGAACGAAAGCAGCAGTGTCAAACTTCTGACGCGGACAACCTGGGCAACGCGCTGGACGCGTTACGCTCGATCGTTTTCTCTCCTGGCACGGCCTTCCCATTGGCTGGAGATCGCCCCGCCACGCGATTATCTCGAACTACTATTCAAGTTACGGTGATAAACTCTTGCTCACTTGGGAGGTCTCGCTGTCGTGTTAACTCGAGCATGGAGGAGAATTTTGAGCTTTATTCTGGTCTGGGGACGAGGATTTTTTAATCCATGAGGCTAAGGATACTCCGGCAGCTATATATTGGTAAGAGGATATACATGAAGTTTACGATGATACAAACGCTCCAACAGACGAACGAGTCCAATTTAATCCACCGCAGTGGAATGAGTGAGACATCACAGGGGAATAATTGCTACAGTTTCGATCAATATCAAGGAGTGTATGGTTACTATATCAATTTCTGAACCAAGCAGAGGAGATAAACTAACAATAGCAAAGGTACCTGACCAGTAAGAGCTTCGTGACTTTCATGTCATCAAATTACAGTTAGTTCATATCCAACCAGGATTCGGTCTTGCGCGAAGAGAACCAACACCCTCTTTCCTCGTACTCGGGCGCCCACGTTCCCGGCTACCCAGAGAAGAGTTCGAGCGCGGAGGAACGTTGGTCTCTACCTTCTGGGCTCTCGACGAACCCGGGCTAGCGAACCCAGAGTCTTTCGAATTGGCCCGCCCGAGTTTCGTCGACTCGTATTCCACGATGTCGCGAAGCGTCGTTACACTGCGCAGCGAAGCACTGCTCGCGCTGCTAAACCCCCGCACATGCAAGCCCAACCCAGCAGGTCGAATCTGACGGAGGCGAATCTCATCGTTGCATAGCTTATATAATTCTTCAAGATCAAGGTAATGCGCCTCATCGCGGAGCTCCAAGAGGGCTTCCAGGCGGGACGACGAGTTACCGGTAAGTTGAGCCGCCCGCGGTAATACGGCAGGGTTTTCAGGAGTTGATGGAGGGGAGCGGAGATACGCCAAGATATGTGCATACCTAGGGTACAACATGCATGATTAGTCTGAGATGAAAAGAAGGCGCTGAGGGACTACACACGGAGCGCTCGGTCTGTCCAAAAAGACGTGCATACAGGAGGTCTGCGCCAGGAGACCCGATGAAGCCAGATGGTTGTGGAAGATAGAATCAAAGGAGCTCTCAGCCTCGCTGGCATCGGAATAGATCGATTCCGTGCCTTGCGAATCACGCCTGTGTGAAGGGAAGAGGCTCTTCAAGTACGTGGCGAGGAATGAAGGCCGTGACACCAACGTGCTCAGAGTGGTACGGTGCGTGACTGTGCTGGTTTCCAGCGAGACAATTATCTTCGAAGGATCCACCATATTTGTTGGTGCCGGAGTTATGAGTATAAGGTCAAAAGGCGGCTGAGGTGGGGAAGAAGAAAGGTTCGCTGGGAGAGCTGGGACAGGAGGTGAATACTCAGAGGATGAAGGTGAACGCGTCTTGAGGGAGGAGCGCAAAAAGCTCATGTCAACACCGCCTGAGTCCAGCACCAGCGTCTCGGACGAAGCAGAAGCGTCTGGCGCTGCCGGGGGAGGACGTGTGGGTCGTGGGGGCGTGTTGGAACGTGTGTCGTTGTTGCTGACCGGGGAGTCAGGATCCGGTAATGGTGGCAATGGAGGGCTCGCAGGCCGGGCCAGATAACTTTGCGCGTCGTCGTCTTGTTCGTGGGTATCCACATCATCTACATCCGCCGTGAACGAGGATATGCATCTGGGTCCAGCCAGAGCCTCCTGAGGGGTCCTGACGATGGTGGCACCAGCACCAAGGACTCCACCACGATGTTGAGCGAAAGCTTCAAACCCATTGAGGAACTTAGGCTCCGATATTCTGACAGGCTTCGAGGGCGCATACGGAGCGGCATTCCCAGAACTAGAGGTCGTGCGCGACAACCAGTTCCTTGGACTGGAAATGGAACCACCGCGCTGTCGTGGGGGTGTCATGGGGGGCGATATTGGGGCGTAGTCTTCAACGGGGATGGGTTTGGAGATGGCAAGAGGTGAGCGGGGAGTCCTTGAGCGCTGGGCGTGCATGGTATAAGAGGGTATGGGCGACGGCGTCGTGGTGAGGATGAAGGTGAAGAAACAAGACTTCTAGCGTCGTCAAGAACGCGCCTTATCAGCAGGAGAGTGAATGGGACAGGAGGCATCTCGGCGGCAGGGACAATGGGGCAAAAGAACAAAAGCCGCATGCAGCATGCACAACAACTCAACGCCTGCCTAATCCGGACACCCTCTATTGTCGGCGCGTCACACCCGGCGTCACCCTCCTACGCCCTGGCTGCCCAGTCACGGTCACAGTCGTCCTCGCCGCCATGCAGGCTGCCGCCGCCGCCACCGCAAGATTTCAGTTCGCGGTCCCATATATCCTCCAGCCCGTCTCCCCCGGTCTCGCCGCACTCCACGCCTCCCGTGCGCGTAGCATCCACCCCACCGATTCTACCTTGCGGACCACGCATTGCCGGGCATGCGGCGCCTCCTACCTTGAAGGAGGGCATATCAGGACCATGCGCTCGGGAAACAGAAAAAAAGGCGACAAAGGCAAGGACACAGCATCCGCTCGCGTCATCCGCATGTCCTGCGAGATCTGCGGCCACAAGGAGGATTTTCCTGTAGAGGGCGACCGTCTATCGTCATTCATCCAACCCAGGAAAAGGCGACGACAATCCGCACAGACCATCGGGACGACGCTTGTACCCGCTACGGTGTCTGCAGTGACTTCTAGAGGAACCGCCAATGTCAGATCTGGATCTGCTGGTCAACACGCTCCTGCCCCTGCACGAAGTCCATCAGCATCTTTAACATCTAACGCTTCATCATCAACACCGGATGAGAAAGACAGGAAAGATATCTTACCGACCGGTCAATCTAAGGCTCGGTCGCGTAAACTCGGTGGACTACAGGGATTGTTGGCACGTAATCGCGAGAAGAGGGAGCAGATACAGACAGAATTAGGTTTGTCTAGCTTTCTGCGCGAGCTAGGTTGATTGTGTAGTTAAAAGTGTAATGTATTTATGTCTTGAAAATGTCACGCTCTCAGGTAGTGCAAGTACGTCGTGAGATGAAATGTAATTGTATTTACGGAAGCATCAGCATCATGAGAACATATACGAGACATACAGCCTTCAGAGTACAACGGCAAGCAGCAACATCACAACAGGACTGCAGACAGTAGATATCAGGAGCTGGCGAACGAGCGTAGACACCACAACAATTGAAATCCGAAAAGATGTTCCGAGTATGACGATTATCCGATCGACTCGTAGTATACAACGATCGCGAACCCGCGTCGTTCCAAACGTTGTGAAGAAGGAAATATACATGAGGATGAGGTTACTTCTGTTCCGCATATGGGTTGACGCTGTAGACCTTGATAACCGGGGGGCTCTTGGTGAGATCGGCAGTGACAATAACCTGTGGAGGGCAAGCGTCATATGGCGAATGGAGAATAGTTTTGATAGCACATACCGGAACAGTCTGAAGCTCCCGGATCTCCTGGATCTTATGCCCTGAGGGCGTTATCCTGAGAGCTTCGAAGCGGGGAACAGTCTTCGACCTCGACAACAATCTCTGCTTGGAACTCTCGTCCGATGGCGGTGCGCGATCAGCGCGCCCGAGGATAATTTCATCTTCTTCCGCATCATCCTCATCAAATAAGGCCTTTTCGTCGTGAACAGAGCGAGAAACGACTTCCATCTTAACTGCATGCTGTTCGGCGTTCTGTTTAACGTTCTTCAAGTGCTCGTCGTCGCTGTTTTCTGCAAGCCAGGTGATCACGTCGCGGTTAGACCAGTAGATTTGCAGGGTGTGCGTGTGCTCGTCATAGACGTGATTCTACGTTGAAACAGGGTCAGACGAAAATACCTATATTGAGGGTGATTGAACTCACATCAATGGGCATCTGGTCCACGTGGACTCTCTTCTCGATACCGAATTCTGGCACAAGTACGTCGAAGGCAGCATCCAGCACTCCGACGACTTTCGCCTCTCTAATAACAGGTCCATAACGATGTGTCAAGTCGGAGATTAGGATGCACAGATACAAATGAGTGGACTGCTCTTCAGCCAACTTTGCCGAATCCCGTTTACTGAAAAATGACGAAAGTTCAATAAAATTCCAGTGCTCAAGCGGGACTCATACGTACATATTGCATTGTTGCGCAACCTTCGCGACCGCATCGCGGTCCATAGTGAACTTAGGTTCAGCTAAAACAATAAGGTCAAGGACATCCAAATCTCGATATTTAAAGCTTACCTCCGCCCTGCAATATAGAATCCAGTTGGCGATGGACTAGAATATCCGCGTAACGTCTGATGGGGGAAGTGAAATGAGTGTACAAGGGGATATTGAGAGCAAAGTGGCCGTATTTCGCGATATCGAGCATCCCAGCACAGAAGTATTTTGCCGCGGAGGAAGCCTTGCGGAGGAACAGCTCCAAGATCTTGCGGGCAGACGGATCGTTCACCGCATCGAGGGACTTCATTAATGTAATGGGGGAAGATGCATCCACTTTGAAACCCATGCGCTCAGCTCGTTCAACGAAAGCAGCCTGAAAAATATAAGTGATAAAATAAAAACGCTGAACAACACACGTACAAGTCGTCGCTCAATTGGAGGGTCGTGGCGGCGAAGCAATGCCTGCTCAGAGAAGTTCACAGCAATTTGCTGAGCAACAGCGACATTTGTTAACAACATAAACTGCAGGTGGCGATATTAACAAACTGAATCACATAGGCAATATGTCACATACCTCCTCGACTAAATGGTGGGCCTCAGTCCGCTCATACTGTGAGCAGTCAATGGGGACTCCGTCGTCATCGAGCTTGAACGTTAGCTTGAGAGACTGGGACTTGATACAGCCGATCTGGAAACGGCGAGCACGGACTTGCTTAGCAAGCTCATGAATGACCCGGACGTCTTTAGAGACATCTGCAACGGCGTGCTCAGGGGCAACCTCAAATTCAACAGCGTGGCCATCAATGATAGATTGCGCATCTGTGTAGGAGAGCTTAGCAGATGTCCTATACGAAGAATCAGTCAGCCGTCCGCACATATATGATAATATCATACTTAATGAGAGTCTTGCCGAACCACTTCTTCAATACTTTCCCGTCCTTAGTCATAGTGAAGATGACGGAGAACGCCAAACGCTCTTCGCCAGGAACAAGGCTGCACATTTGTTCGCTCAACGCAGGAGGTAACATGGGGACCGCGCGCTGGACAAGGTAAACGCTGGTTGCGCGCTTACGAGCATCACGATCCAGAGCCGTGTTGGGTTTGACGAAGTACGAGACATCCGCGACGTGGACAGCAACATCATATGTGCCATCATCGTTCACCTTCACGGACAGGGCGTCGTCCAAGTCTTTGGCTGTGTCAGGATCAATGGTGAAGGCTCGCTCATTGCGCAGATCCTTTCGAACTTGTAGTTCATGGTCCGGGATGCTATAAAATTGAACTGTCTTAGTAAGGACATGACAAGAGCATAATAGTATGCATACCTCCAGGGAATGGGGGGGAGGCATTTTAACACATTCTCAGTGAAGTCCTCGGTTGGGAAGTTACAGTCCTTCAAAAGAGCGCTAGTCTCCACCTCGATATCACCAATGGGTCCGAGCTCCTCGACGAGTGTACCAAATGGATGGAGAGAGCTGATAGGCTGTTATCGATGATCGTCGTCAGGTACATTGAAATTATCCAAACGTGGTACTTACGTGTCGTTTGATGCATGCCACGAAGAGTTTGTTAGCATACGCGTCCGAGTTCTGCACGAAGTCTTGGGGGGCCTGCTCCGTTGGGATAGCAATCAAAGGCACTCGCTTGTCTGTGGGCTTGAACCAGACAATCTTCGGTCGCTCAATGGGACGCCGCGGCTCATCTCCACGATCGCCTTCTCGCTCCCGGCGTTCAGCCTCCTGCTTTTCTTTAGTAGCGGCGGAGGACGGGCGCAGTAATCCCAATGTGCCAGAGAATAGCTGTCCTGGCATACGCTCAACCACAGCAACGACATGACCGGCAAATTGGGGCTTGACTTCGTCTGTAACTCTGAAAAGGAGGTCAGACGACGACAACAATATTAATCCGTGCACCTACTCTTCGTCCTCGAACAGCATAAGACCTTGTCCTTCGACTTCGACGTCGTCCTTCTTCTTGTCGTTTCTCCTGCCTGCAACACCTCTCATATCATACGCTGAATTCTCCTCTTTCTTCCTCTTTTTCTCTTCTTTCTCCTTCTTCGTGCCCCAAACCTCATCAACGTCTAGCAACTCTACAGCAACAATATCACCCTCAAGAGCGCGATTACGGTCCTTGGACCCACAGATATAGATATCGGCATCTAAAACCTCAGTCGCAACGTATGCATCAGACCGATTCCGTTTGTTGACTCGTAAGATACCGACAACAAGCTTGCCTGCAGCAAGCAATGGCGGCAGAGAGGCCTGCGGAAGATAAGGAGCGAACAACGACTTGCGCTGAGGTTGACTAGACTGTTGTTGTAGCTGAGATTGAAATTGCTGTTGTTGTTGCTGTAAGAGATTGATACCACCCAAGCCCAGACCCATCATGTTTGCCGCCATCATGTTGGGTAGCATGTTAGGGAAACTGAACGAGGCCATTTTCTGGTGGTGACCTCCAGCTGCAGCTCTGAACTGCTGCAGACTATTGAGCTGGGCTTGAGCTTGAGCAAGATCGGCAGCGAAATTATTGCCGCCCTGAAGGGCTCCAACACCCCCGTCTGCTGAGGTGATAAATTTCTCATAAATTACAGTAGATCGAAACTTACTAATGCGCCAGCTCGAATCGGTACGTGAATGCCCGCCGACATTGGGAGGCGGAGCGAAGCCGTCATCAAATCCATCCATGCTCTGCGAGAAGCCCATCGATCCAAACCCAGGCTGCCCATTCGACTTGTTCAGGACATTGACACTGTGACGCCTTCCATGTCCGCGAGGGACACCTGACGGCTGGCCATCTAGACCCATCCCAAGATTCCCAAGATTGCCAAATTGCCCCATAGCGGCCTGGGGACCAGCAAAAGGATTCATCCCCATTCCCATAGGAACAGTGCTATGGACGCGGCGATGAACATTGGGACGCCCAGGTGCAAGACCCGGTGTTTGGAACGACAGAACCTGATTTGATGCAAGCTGTTGTTGATACAGAGCCTGTTGCTGTTGTTGCAGCGCCTCAATTTGGTTTTGAAGAGCGATCTGCACTTGATATGGTTAACTCAGATTATGCGGACACATGCTCCCATACGCACCTGTTCCGCCATGATACCAGAAATTTCGGGATTATTCTCGGCCTTCCTCTGGTTAGCGTCGGCATCGACGTTGAAATTGGGCTGGGATTGCTGCTGAGGGAATTGGAAACCAACATCCTCTTCGTTGATAGGTGGCCCTATCGGTGTACTGACACTAGAGCTAGGGCGACGTCTGGCACCAAACATGAAACCCGGTGCGAGTTGCGGTCGACCAGTTGGTCCAAGGATCTCGCTCTGATCCTGCTGCGCTAGAGCGGCAAAACGAGGAGCAGTAAAACTCTGAGACAGAGAACGCCGTTGATGCTGGTAAGGATTTTCGGCGATTTCGCCTTCTTCAGTTGGGAAATTCACTTGACCCTCTTCCACATCCTCAATCATAGCGCCAAGATTTGGCGAATACGAGTTATGCGAAGGATTGCCGGCAGCCCCTAAAGATGCAGCCTTGCGATGTCTAGGAGCCTGTTCAGCATTAGTACCAGGGTAGGAGCCCGCGCCAGGCTGGAAGACCGGTGCGTTGGGCGGCAGGGAGGAGCCTTGGATAGAACTCGACATCGAAGCCGAGATAGAGACTGGAGGAGCGTTAGGAGACTGGTTAGGAGACGTTGTCTTCAGGTCTGCAATGACCCTTTGGAGCGAAGAGAGAGCGTCGCTGTTGTCAATACTGGACTGAGGAGCGGGCGAACCAGACTGCTGTTTCTGTTGGGGAGCAGCAGAGCCCTCTTTGGGCTTGTTTCCCGCTTGACGACCGCCCTGCGCTACAGACTGCGACCCCTTGCGATGTCCACCAGCTGAGCGCGCATTGCCGCCACCCTGCCCCTGGGGCTTCGCACGTTGCTCGGTCTTCTTACCTTCGGCTCCCTTCTTGGTAGAATCCGAGCCAGATTCACCTGCCGTGGGAGCATTAGATGGGCCTCTCTTGCTACCCTTGTTGCTTGCTCGGGAGGACGGTCGCGGTGCACCAGCATTGTTCGTGCTGATGGAGGCCGTACGCGAGGCATTTCGCTTCCTCCCCCCATTATTCTGAGACGAACCATTAAAGGGCTTCTTCTCGTCCTTTTTGAGGAGGTTCTGTTGTGTTTGAGACGTTGTTTCGTCAGTCATATCGTTCGTAAAGTAGTGGCTGATTTATCCGGGCTTTTGAACGTTATGAAATGTTTTTTGTTTTCTTTACGTTCCTGGCGTGTACGAATTGTGATGACTGCGCGTCGGATCAGGCAATTAGAGATGGCAAGGACGCTGCGTAACTCACCAGAAAGTTGGAGAAGACGTGTACAATAGAAGGCTTTGCCCTGTAGGGCGAGTGGGAATATATGGAGGTGGGTGCCTGGGTAGGCGGGAAAGTACAGGGAGGGGTTGTGCTTATCGTCGCAAGAGAGCAACGCCAGCGGGCGCAACCAGATATATGACCTCGGCGGGGGGCACAGGTTTCTTTCTCCCACGCCTAGTCGCTCAGACACGCTGCGCGTAACAACAACTAACAACCCGTTTCTTGACAAATTGAAGCCGCCTACTAATACGTGTACGGACTGGGTTATAGCTTCACAGGTCGCATTACAAATCTAGGACCACTAAGATCTATGAATCATGGCACGTCGTTACTCGCAGTCGCTACATCCCGATTATATACATCCTCGAGAAGCTGTGTATAGCATTATAGACCGTCCTGAGGTATGAAAGTCTAATCTATTTCATCCAGGGCTCTCATGCTTTCGCCAGCTTCTCGATGATAGTGGCAGTATATTCCTGCGTCGACGCCTTGCCACCCAAATCACCGGTGATGGTCTTACCCTCGGCAATAGTCTAAAACCGTTCACATCTCAGAGACAAAAGCGTCGAGATCTACGAGGAGTACTAACCGACAGGGCAGCCTTCTCGATCTTAGCCGCATAATCATCTAGGTTCATGTGACTAGAAACAAGAAGTGCATTTCAGCAATCGCGGCCTGGCTAGGCACGCAAGGCAGATTACATACCGAAGCATCATGAGTGACGACAGAAGCAGCGCGGTGGGATTGGCCAACCCCTTGCCTGCGCTATTTTAGCATAGCTCATGTGAAACACGTGGATCACATACCAGCAATATCCGGAGCCGAGCCATGCACGGCCTCAAAAATCGAGGCATCCTGCGCGACAATGTTAGCTCCCGCAAGCGTTTACGAGACACACGACGATACTTACCCGGCCGATGTTACCGGATGGTGTCAGACCAAGTCCACCGATGAGACCAGCGCACATATCGGACAGGATATCGCCATACAAATTGGGCATTACCATAACACGGTCCGCGTACGGTCGCGGGTTTTGCGTGATCTGAAAAAGAAAGAACAAGTTTTTGAAGAGTATCGATAGAAACCATTAGGGCCCACCTGCAAGCATACGCGGTCCAACAAATCTTCATCATAGCTGATGCTGGGGAACTCCTTTGCGACCTGTCGGCACGCGGACAAGAACATACCATCCGACATTTTCCTAAGGGCATGGTCCTCAATCCGAGTACTGTCTATGCGCGCATCGACAACTTACATGATGTTAGCCTTATGAACGGCAGTTACACGGGACCTCCCGCTGGATTGCGCATAGTGGAAAGCATACCGCGCGACGCGTTCCGACGCATCCCATGTAATAAGCTTGATAGACTGTACTACACCATCCACGATCTGGAACCCCGGTCGGCCACGAGAAGAATAAAGAAGCGCGAACGATGACGACATACCTCATGCTCGATACCTGAATACTCTCCCTCGGTGTTCTCACGGATCAATACGGTGTTCACGTCGTCGTAGGGTGTCTTAAAGCCTTTGATAGAGACGCAAGGCCGAACATTTGCAAAGAGGTTGAACGTTCTGCGCAAAGTCAGGTTCAGCGAAACATGACCCTTTCCAACTGCGTGATTCTGTAAGACAAGAGGTACACTGGTACAACAGAAGTATACGAACTCGGGGTAGCCAAGGGTCCTGTTGTCAACATGAGCTGATGGGCCCTCCCTCAGAAAAAAGAAACACATACCCTTCAAAGCAACAGTATTTTTCTTGACGGAGCTGATAGCAGCATCCGGAATGACTGTCTTGCCTCCTTTGAGAACTGGCGCAACGCTGACTTCTTCCCACTCAATGGGCACCTACAACGGACATCAAAAAGACAAGTCCATAAAATACGACCAGACACATACCTGAGCGGCAGTGTAGATGTCCTTTACAGACTGACTGATTTCCGGGCCAATTCCTGCCAGATAGTCAATCTCGGTCGGTGATACGATGACGTTGCAGTCGCTCACCGTCGCCCGGAATCAACGTTACGGTATATTTTCCCTGAGCATGACACATAAGACAGAACTTGGTGGGTCTCTCCTCACACACTCACATTGCTCCCCTTCTGGCCAGCAAACGCAGCTGTGGGTGCGGCGGCGGCATAGCCGCGGAATGTCTGCGAGTGCCATACGGTGTTGAGCAGGGCATCAAACTGCCAGTATAGAACATGAAACCAAACCTGAGTGCTTCGTGCTGCAGCCTGTGCACCACGAGTAAATGTTCGCGACGCCAACATTTTTACAAGACGAGATATGAGAGGAGAGGTTCAAAGTGTCCAAGCCGAAACAGGACCGAAATGTCGAAAATCAAAGACCACGTGACATATGATGTAGCACCGTTAGGCGCTTCTCCCGTACTCTGTCCCGATGCAGCCGGTGAAGGCCGCAATTCAAATCCCACTGACTCCGTCCCGTGGAATCGAGCCCGAACTCGATAAAATACAGACACATAGAATATACCGTAACGAAGGACATAAAAGTACATTATTCTATACATTATCCACTGAGTAACCCATTAAGCTGCTGTCGATACTGTTCCAACGCTCTCTCTGTCTCTTCTTCGTCTTCTTTATCTTGTGCAGACTGCAAAATGGATGTTAAGCAACTTGGAAACAATTTTTGACGATTCACAGCACTCACGGGAAGCTCAGTCTGGACAGTCCCAGCCTGTCCGAGTTTGCCGTTCGTCAAATCAAAGAGCACTTTGTCGACCTCCTCGTCAGCCTCTTCCTCCATCTCCGCATCATCGTCCATTTCAAGTGTGTCATCCAACATCTCTTCCATGATGCCCGCCTAGCACGTAGACCTCAAATCAGGGATGTCGCGCAGAGAAGTATAATGTAAACATACTTTCGTCATCTCCACACTCATCTCGCGCATGGCTTGGCTGATCTGTGGTAGTCTCACGAGAGCATTCGACAGCTTCATGATCTCCGTTGATTTCTGCAAAGAACCAGTGACCTTGATCATGGCTTCAAAGAGTCATCAAGTATGAGCAAAACAATAAATGATGAATAGAAACCACTCATACCCATTTGCTGCGACAACTGGTGTCCGATGGAGCCCAACCTGGCCTTGCTCACCGAAAGTCGATCCTTCTGCCTGTTACTCCGCACAACCTCTTTCGCAAGTATGCGTGCCGACTTTACATCACCTTTCGCAGCCAGCTGCTTGACCGTCTGCTTCGCCTTGTTCGTCGCGACGTCCAACTGCAGTAGACTGCAGTGTGAGCATATCCGTAAGATTAATGGGACACACAGATCGGACCTGCCTCATCTCCCGGTCAAGGACACGCTGTTCCTGGCGCAGCTTGGCCTGCCATTGACGAACACGCTCCTCTGCCGTCGGCCCATAGAGGAACCTGTTGATAGTCTGCATCGTGGGGTACAG